AAATAACCCTATTTCCAATAATGGCTGCTTTTTATACTTTTTGAAGTGAATAATAAAAAATAGTATTGTAATAAATGTTCTACTAATAAAACACACCTTTAATAATCCAGCTAATAAAATGACTTTATTTATTTTTATTTTTGTTAAGGGACATTTTTTCGGATTAATTTATATTTTTCGTTTATTTTATCAACACAGCTACTTTTCCATTATTTATATTTTAATTTCGTATTTATGTTCTTTTTTGTGTTCGATTTTATTCTATGTTATGGTAACTGAAGAAGATCATTAAGAAACGATCAAAACGTTTTTACATTTTTAATTTTTATTAGCTGGATTATTAAAGGTGTGTTTTATTATTAGTATATTTATCCAGTTTGTTCATTATATAAGTAATAAATGTTCTATTTTTAGTAAATAATTTTCTTCTCCTAGTAAGCAATGATGGGTTCATCCTCCAATTGTAATGCAATTCAAACATCTGATTTTAGTGGACCATTCTACTGTACTCAGAAAATAGGGATTGAGGTTTAAAGATGCCCATCCCTTTAAATGGATGTGGTCCCATGCAAATGTGTTAGTTTACATATCAGAAAGTGCATACAGTGATGCCAGGTTTGATTACTTTGTGACAAATTTGGCTTTTTTTTTTACTCTTTTTGCACCAAAAGATATTTTTCTACTTTTTAAAACAATCTTCAACAGGAAAAAACCACGGATTTCTTTTAGATTTGTTTTGTCAAATTACTTTAATATATTGCTCAACACTTAATCAGCTAAATCATCTCTTCCTAATTTTGTTTGATTTAAAAATCATTCAGAACATAAAATAAAATTTATTTATAAAAACACATTAACTTTATTTAGTAAATTCATTCAAAACATTAAAATTTAGAGATTTCAATTGCCTATTAAGCCCTAATCCCCTAAATTATACAACCTTGACCTTGACCTTGACCCTGAAAATCATTAATATAAAGTGAACTAACAACTGTTCCCTAGCAATTTGTATTAATGCAAGTTGACTGTAATTACATAGAAAATGTTTAAAAGTATTAAAGTTATTATTAAATTTAGGACACTTAGGCACTAAAAGTCATAAGTTATAATTTTTTATAACTACTTATACAATTTTAAGTACTTAGATGTTCTAGCCTTAGTTATTATGTAAGTTAATAAATTAATAAAAAAATAAATATTATAAATGGTTTGGATCATAATCTCGAAAGATAAAATCCCACATATTCCTAAAGGCTAAAATCCTGAAAAATCATAATCCCAAAGAATTAAAATCTCAAAAATCAAAATCCTGAAATACCTACAACCTCAATTTCCAATGAAAAATGTGTAGTCTGTATATGAGTACATGCAGAATGATTTCCGCATATCCTAAACAACATGAAAGCATGACACAGAAGATGGAAAAATTTAGTAGAAATGCTCATATTGGTGAATATCGAAGTATTTCAACATTAAATAATTTCAAAAAGTGTGCCATGTAGAAAATGAATATGAACGTATTCTCCAAGGAGAACTATGTCCTAAAAGGAAAAAAAAAGCAGATACTCATTGCAAAAAAATACTTCAAAATATAGTAAAAATGGCTAATTTTCAGCATTAATTTTTATAATTTGCAATTCTATATATTTGATTTTTGCCACTATGTATTAATGTAATAATAATCAATATGTGTGTATTACATATTGTGCATACATATTGACTATTACTATTTTTAAATATTTTATTGTATAAAAGGGGCTATGAAGTGTTCTGTCATGTGTTTATATATTACTCAAATAAATTGTGTTACTGGATTTTTAAAGGTTTTTTGGTGTTTGTCATTACTCAAATAAATTTTGTTTAAAAATGTACAATTTTTAATATATGACTTTTAAAGATTTGTTATGATTATTTTTTCCAGGATTATATTTTTGGAATTGTAATTTTTTGGGGAATACTGCTAAAATATATTATTCTTACCATTACTCAATGCAATACTCTAAATTAAGTTTATTAAGTTTTATATTAGTTTAAGTTAGGAAATAAAAAAAAATATAACTTACAACTAAAAATTCTTTTTTATCAATTCTCTGATTGCAATCAGTATCAAACATATTAAATGCTATTCGAAATCCAGAATGTGGTTCTAGAAATCAAATATTATGTATTATATGTTTTTGTTAAGTACAAGATAATTTTAGTGATAGTGCATAACATATGTGTTAAATGAGAATGAATTAAAAAAGTACTGAATTACAGTCAACTCACCTTAAAACACTGATAGAGCAAATTTTCATGTTAAAGTGAATNTAATTATTGTACAATATAACGAATAAAATATCTAATTATTCTTAATATAATATTTTACTATATCGCCCAGAAAATTGTTTTTCGCTCCCAAAATATAAATTGTTACTAATCGCCCCTCAACACGGAAAAACTCCCACATGGGGGCGATATCGCCCCCATTGAGAAACACTGATCTATTCCAATGGATGACATGCAAAATTAAATCAGGGATTGATTAACAAGATGAAGAAAAAATTAGCTGAAGTTCCAAACAGCTACATGCTAAATTTCATGTCAAGTCCTAACAGCTATTGGCCAAATCTCATGTTCAGAGTTCATTCTAGAATTTATTGAACTGCTAAACAAAAGGTCCTCAGTAAATTTTGTCTTAGAAATTTTTTGAAAATATATTATGCTATTCACATGAGTAGTCTCATTATCTTGCATTAAGTTTTTAATAAATTATACTTCATAATGAATTTGCATGTCTTTTCCAAATACCATGTACTGGAATATGTACATTTTATTTATTTATTTATTTAAAAATAAATAAATAAATAAAATGTTTTTTTAAAAAAAAATTCAACTTATAATTTTAGTAGTAATTTAGAAAGTGACAACTAGAAAGAAATATATTTAATGACATTTATATAAAAATTTCTGGACTGAGGGTAACCTCATGCAAATGCCCAGCAGACTGAAGGGGAGGGGTGTTTTTTGTTATTTAAAAAAAAAATCATAAAAAACTAATAATAATTATGTCATATCTTGAAATTTGTTTCTTTGTATTTTCTGTAACATGAAATAATTAACAGAATAATGATTAAAAAGAAAAAAAAAAGCCTTTTTTTAAATTTAAAAAAAGTCTGACACCAACTGGGTTAAAAAAACATTTTATTTGGCACTTAGTTTGGGGCCAACACAAGCTTTCAATTGTATTTCTGACCTGGGATTATCATTTATAAATGTAAACCTTAATCAACTGATAACTTTTTGTATGCAGAAATTTTATAAAACATGAAAATGTTAAACAATGCATGATGCTTTAGCAGTGAAAATAATAAATTTTTCATTAAGCATACTTCCTACATCAATTATAGATGAGTCTAAGCCAGGGGTGGCCAACAGGTTTTGCCACCGGGCCGAATTGGAAAGAAAACTTTTTTCACGGGCCGAACCAGAGGCTGCCCTAGGAAGATTTTGAAGTGGTGCAAGATCTCATTGTGGTGTCACCCCGTAGAGACTGAATTGTACATAGAGATTACAGATACATTTTTCACATTATCATGCTTTATCAACATTCTACGCTGTACTTAAGAGATTTGTAATGGAGGGTTAACTCTAAATGCACAGTGAGTTTGTTGACCTTTTTTTTTTTTATTATTTAGGCATCAGAATTTTTCATTGAGCTATTCAGACTTGAGTAGCTAATATTGAAAGATTAATTGCAGCTCGCATAAATTCATTAGACAGGCTAAACCTGGCCCGTGGGCCATATGTTGGCCATGCCTGGTCTAAACCATATAGCTCCATCAAATAACATAAAACTGAACATGTGAGATTTGTCCTTCAAGTTTTAGAGAAAATTGGCTTGACAAACAAGACTCATCCATAGACCAAAATGTGTTAAATTGATTCCTTAATATGGGATTCCTAAAATTAGGCTATTCACTTTATCAGATATGTGGGTTATTTATTTAAAAAAATTAAATTTTAATCCATCAAAATAGATCAGGATTTTAAAAACATTGGAGAATGTAGTTAAACATTTGGTATCATTTCTCACAAACATATAAATAGATAATCATCAGTCCAATTGATTGATTGCTTGCCAGTGGCGAGTTGTATAGTGAGGATCAACTTTAATTCAGTTGGAATTTAAAACCTGCATATAACCTACACCCCTTTCAAATTATTTTTCAAATATATCCCCGAGGGATTATCTGCATGAAATTACAGTAGTTCACAATCTTTCAATGTCAAAATTTAGATTAAGAGCTTTTCTATGCAATGTATGAAATCAAAAATGTTAATGTCCTAACATAATAAGTGTCTATTATACACATTAAAAATAGTAGTAGTTCCAAAATTTTATTTAAAGTTCTTAATTGACTCAATATATAAAATCATTCTCTACTGGTAGAAGGTGCTAATCTTCATTAAAAATAAAATTATAAAAATAAATAAACACTAAATAAATTAAAAAATAAAAACTTTTAATTCCATACAGAATGTATTTTCTTCAAACTCTTTTCTCTCATAATTTTATTTTTCTTCAAAATTAACAACTTCCAATTTTTAGCTTTGCAATTTTATTTACTGAGCTAACTGATAAATTTAAATGAAAGATACAAATTGCTAATTTGAATTTGCCAAATGCTATTATTCAGCATTAAATGTCTCCTGCAACACTTAAGTGTTTAGAATTTAATTTTTATAGAAATATTTTTAAAAAATAAAAATGTAATATAATACAAATTTTTATTTTTAGTTTGAATCTGAATCAAAATTAGACATTAACTATATCATTTATCATAAAAAACTAATATGTATATATTTCTAATGACAAAAACAATTAACTAAAAATCATTAAAAATTTTCTATCAAATGTTATATTTTTTATAAATAAATTTTAAAATTATTACATGTACTATCACATTATTATTTAAGAAAAATTAACTTGATGTATAACATGAATTTTTTTCACTTACAAAATTCCTTTCTGATACAGAATAGAGCCCAACACTTTGTGCAGTTTTCCTAAAGTATGACACTACAGTGAGGTGTAGAACCTAAATCAGTTGTCAATAATAAATGTGCAAAAATAAAAGAAAGACAGCATAGAAAAACAGAAAATAAAACAATAATTAAATTGAAAACAACAGGTAAATTTAATTGAAAAAAAAAACAGCAAAAAATATTTTAAATTTAAGAAATTGATTATAGAAAAAGAATTTACAAAATATCTTCTTTAATAAATAAAGAACAGAAAATTATTTTAGAATTTATGTTAACAATAAAATTTTTAGATAAAATAATTTATTAAATCAATAGCTGCAAACAAAATAAAAATAATTAAAGTAAGTTAATTTATTGCTTTCATTTGATAAGCATCTATATTCATTCACAGCATAATATAGATATTAATGAATTACTTTTGTAAAGATTACATGTTAAGCATAAAAATAAATTTTATTAATATCGTCTGCATCACAGTAAATTTGGAACCCTTTTTTGTTTCTCTCTTTTTTTTTCTTTTTGTTATAGGACAGTGTTATATTTTTAATTCTGAATACTGCTAAAATATATTATTCTTACCATTACTCAATGCAATACTCTAAATTAAGTTTATTAAGTTTTATATTAGTTTAAGTTAGGAAATAAAAAAAAATATAACTTACAACTAAAAATTCTTTTTTATCAATTCTCTGATTGCAATCAGTATCAAACATATTAAATGCTATTCGAAATCCAGAATGTGGTTCTAGAAATCAAATATTATGTATTATATGTTTTTGTTAAGTACAAGATAATTTTAGTGATAGTGCATAACATATGTGTTAAATGAGAATGAATTAAAAAAGTACTGAATTACAGTCAACTCACCTTAAAACACTGATAGAGCAAATTTTCATGTTAAAGTGAATTTTGCCATTGTAACAACATTAATTTTCACCCCATAGAGCAACCAAAAACTTTGTCAGAATTTGTTAAACCAAATCAATTACCTTCACAACCTCCAAGAAATAACCCTATTTCCAATAATGGCTGCTTTTTATACTTTTTGAAGTGAATAATAAAAAATAGTATTGTAATAAATGTTCTACTAATAAAACACACCTTTAATAATCCAGCTAATAAAATGACTTTATTTATTTTTATTTTTGTTAAGGGACATTTTTTCGGATTAATTTATATTTTTCGTTTATTTTATCAACACAGCTACTTTTCCATTATTTATATTTTAATTTCGTATTTATGTTCTTTTTTGTGTTCGATTTTATTCTATGTTATGGTAACTGAAGAAGATCATTAAGAAACGATCAAAACGTTTTTACATTTTTAATTTTTATTAGCTGGATTATTAAAGGTGTGTTTTATTATTAGTATATTTATCCAGTTTGTTCATTATATAAGTAATAAATGTTCTATTTTTAGTAAATAATTTTCTTCTCCTAGTAAGCAATGATGGGTTCATCCTCCAATTGTAATGCAATTCAAACATCTGATTTTAGTGGACCATTCTACTGTACTCAGAAAATAGGGATTGAGGTTTAAAGATGCCCATCCCTTTAAATGGATGTGGTCCCATGCAAATGTGTTAGTTTACATATCAGAAAGTGCATACAGTGATGCCAGGTTTGATTACTTTGTGACAAATTTGGCTTTTTTTTTTACTCTTTTTGCACCAAAAGATATTTTTCTACTTTTTAAAACAATCTTCAACAGGAAAAAACCACGGATTTCTTTTAGATTTGTTTTGTCAAATTACTTTAATATATTGCTCAACACTTAATCAGCTAAATCATCTCTTCCTAATTTTGTTTGATTTAAAAATCATTCAGAACATAAAATAAAATTTATTTATAAAAACACATTAACTTTATTTAGTAAATTCATTCAAAACATTAAAATTTAGAGATTTCAATTGCCTATTAAGCCCTAATCCCCTAAATTATACAACCTTGACCTTGACCTTGACCCTGAAAATCATTAATATAAAGTGAACTAACAACTGTTCCCTAGCAATTTGTATTAATGCAAGTTGACTGTAATTACATAGAAAATGTTTAAAAGTATTAAAGTTATTATTAAATTTAGGACACTTAGGCACTAAAAGTCATAAGTTATAATTTTTTATAACTACTTATACAATTTTAAGTACTTAGATGTTCTAGCCTTAGTTATTATGTAAGTTAATAAATTAATAAAAAAATAAATATTATAAATGGTTTGGATCATAATCTCGAAAGATAAAATCCCACATATTCCTAAAGGCTAAAATCCTGAAAAATCATAATCCCAAAGAATTAAAATCTCAAAAATCAAAATCCTGAAATACCTACAACCTCAATTTCCAATGAAAAATGTGTAGTCTGTATATGAGTACATGCAGAATGATTTCCGCATATCCTAAACAACATGAAAGCATGACACAGAAGATGGAAAAATTTAGTAGAAATGCTCATATTGGTGAATATCGAAGTATTTCAACATTAAATAATTTCAAAAAGTGTGCCATGTAGAAAATGAATATGAACGTATTCTCCAAGGAGAACTATGTCCTAAAAGGAAAAAAAAAGCAGATACTCATTGCAAAAAAATACTTCAAAATATAGTAAAAATGGCTAATTTTCAGCATTAATTTTTATAATTTGCAATTCTATATATTTGATTTTTGCCACTATGTATTAATGTAATAATAATCAATATGTGTGTATTACATATTGTGCATACATATTGACTATTACTATTTTTAAATATTTTATTGTATAAAAGGGGCTATGAAGTGTTCTGTCATGTGTTTATATATTACTCAAATAAATTGTGTTACTGGATTTTTAAAGGTTTTTTGGTGTTTGTCATTACTCAAATAAATTTTGTTTAAAAATGTACAATTTTTAATATATGACTTTTAAAGATTTGTTATGATTATTTTTTCCAGGATTATATTTTTGGAATTGTAATTTTTTGGGATTTTGATCTTTTGAGATTTCAACATTTGGGATTATGGTGATTGTGATCTTTCAGGATTATGATCAGCACCTATTATAAATATATTATATTCAAAAAATTTTTTTCAATAAAAGTAAGAACAGAGCCAGATAAACCAAGATAAAAGATCTGATAATTCCAATCTGAAATTTGTTTGACCTAAAAAATTCATTCAGAGAAATAATATTAACTCATAGTTAATAAAATTCTTAGCTAAAAAGTTAATGTTATTAATATGTATAAAGTTTATAATATCAACTAAGATCAGTTATGATAGTTATGAATGTTTAATTTGTCTTTGTTGAGAAATTAATTTCTAAATTTTCTTACTCTTATATTGTTGCTTCTATCTCAAGTTAAAAATTCTTAATTTTCTTAGTTTTATAATATTACTCCTATTGTAGGTTAAAAAATACTTTTTACAATTTATAAAAAATATTTTTTTCTAATTTATGTTCTATCATAAATGTTTTCTAAAATTAATGATTTAAATTTAAAATTTAAATTGGTGATTTGCTTTTTGTCTTTATGTTACAATATGAGTCTATGATCACTAAGTTCTGGCTCTATGGAGGACTTATCACACACTATTTGACGTTGTCGGAGTAATCACACAGAAGTAGGCAGACACAGGTTTATTCCGAAATGCATACTGTCGTCATAATAAACCCATGTCTACCACTTCTGTGTGATTACTCTAACAACGTCAAATAGTATATGATAAGGCCTCCATAGAGCCAAAACTTAGTGCTCATAGACTCATATTTAAAATTTAAATTCTATATTATTCATTTGTGTTCTTGCAAGCTGAAAATGATTAGAATGGCCAAAAATGTTACTGAATAAAAAATAATTTTCATTTTCTTGATCTAGTTTGGTCTTTTAAATTACAATAGTGCCAAGTTCCACATTTTCATAACAAAATCAGTCTACCATGATCATAATACAGTAGAGCGTCATTTATCCGAAAGTCAATCATCCGAAATGTCAGTTATCTGAAAGAATTCCAGTTCGCAAATTTAAATTTTCACTAGTGCTGTGGCGCTGCAATCTTTGGCTATGTCTTGGGCTACTCAAATATTTTATGTTTTTGATACTAAATTAACTTCTGAAGTATAAATTTTTTATTGTTTTTATATTTTTCAATACATTTATTTTGTTTGTACAAAATAAAGAAATAATTTTTAACAATACAATAGCCACAATTATTATTTTAAAAAGTTTACATTAGGCTTAACAGGTATGTATTAACGTCGGAATTAGATTACGAAAAAGGATTGAAACGGATTCTCATGAACAGCTAAATCAACACGTCTTTATTGAAGTACATAACGGTGCAGAACTCTGCAGTGCGCAGGCGCGCTACTACATATATACATTTGAACTGCCATAGATGGCGCTGCGATACATAGCATCATCCCCTCCTAAGGAGAAGTTACAAACATAGTCTTGTAAGTATCTAGGAGTTTTACGATGTCTACGACTTGACTCTTGAGTACTAGAGGAGTCTGAAGTTAAGACAGTATCTGATGATGAATTTTTCATGTTGTCTTTCTGGGGAATATTTTCAACTATAGGATTATTTTCTTCTTCCCACCACAGCTGAAGAGGAACGAATGAAGCACCTTGAGATTCGAGGGATGAGGATGATCGAGATCTCAGTTGATCAATATGACGTTTCCATATGGAACCATTAGGGAGCTCAATGTTATAGGTAACAGGTGAAAGTTTCTGAATAACTTTACCAGCAACCCAATATTCTTTAGAACAAAAGTCACGAGCAAAAATTGTGTCTCCTATCATGAAAGAACGCTGTGGACGAACTACGTTGTTATCCGATAAGGTTAAAGGGCGCAACAAATCTAGTCTTGAACGAAGTTTTCTGTTGAATAGCATTTCACTAGGTGTTTTACCAGTAGAACAATGAGGAGTAGTACGATATGAAGTAAGGAATTGGAGGAGGGATGTCATTAAATCCTTTTCACGACTTAATTTTTTTAAGGACGACTTAAACGTTTTGATAAATCCTTCAACTGCTCCATTAGTTGCAGGATGGTACGGCGGAGAGAATGTCTGACGAATTCCGTTTTGTGCTAAAAACATTCTGAATTCACGAGATGTGAATTGAGGGCCATTATCAGAATGAACATGTAATGGAAGGCCATGACGACTAAACCAAGATCTAAGTGCCAGAATAGTAGCAGAAGAATCTGTGGATTGCATTATTTGAATTTCAGGATATTTAGTTTTTGCATCAATACCTATTAGAAACATTTTTCCAAGGAAAGGTCCAGCGAAGTCGATATGCACTCTACTCCAAGGTTCTTCAGGAATTGGCCATCTTAAAGTATTGGTAGAGGGAGGATTTCGATGGTATGACTGACATAAAATACATTCTTTCACTGTTCGTTCTAGATCACTATCAATGCCTGGCCACCAAACAATTGATCTTGCTAACATTTTCGATTTAACGATACCTTGATGTCCCGAATGTAATTCAATAAGAACATTTCTGCGAAATTTCTCAGGAACGAATATTCTATCACCCATAAATATTAAGTTTCCTTCTAGAGAAAGGGAATCCTTGAATTTAAGAAATGGCTTAACAGCTGTATTTACCTGATGCCAATTATTCTTGATGCACTTACGCAAAACATTGAAAAGTTTATCTGTACGAGATGCTTCTATAAAAGCACTATTGGTAAAAGGAAGGGAATCAAATTGCAAATTAAATAATGAACTTGGAATTGAATTACTAAAATCTTCTATGAATAGATCATTAGTAGTATTTCTGGAAAGGCCATCAGCTATGATATTAGTTGCGGAAGAAATGTACTTAATTGTATAATTATAATCATTCAGTATGATGCTCCATCTTTGTAGTCTAGCAGCTACAATCTCATTCTGTCCTCTTTTATCACCAAAAATTGCAAGTAAAGGCTTATGGTCTGTTTCTAGAATGAAATGACGACCAAGAAGATATTGTCTAAATTTCTTGATACCAAAAATAATGGATAGTGCCTCTTTTTCTGTCTGAGAATATCGACGTTGAGCAGGCGAAAGTAAAGCATTAGCAAATGAAATAGGACGTTTTACATTGTCGATAATATGGAAAAGAACAGCGCCGACACCAAATTGAGAAGCATCTGTAGCCAAGTATAATTCTTTGTTAGGATCATAATGTATGAGAAGTTTAGCTTGTTTTAGTGAGTTTTTTGCACTTTGAAAAGCAGATTCATGCTCTTTTGTCCAGATCCAAGAGCATCCTTTACGTAAGAGTTTGTAAAGGGGGTGTAGGTAAGTAGACAGTTTAGGTACAAATTTAGAATAATAGTTCAACATACCTAGGAACGAGCGTAGAGAATGAACATTACGAGGCTTATGAGCTTTTAATATAGGATCCAGTTTTGATGATAAAGGAGCAATTCCTTGTTTTGAAATATCAAATCCTAAAAATTTTACAGAATCTTGTAAGAATTTGCACTTTCGTTTGTTTAGTTTGATTCCTTCTGTTTCACAAATGGATAGGATCCTTTCAATATTACTCAAATGGTCTGAATGATTTGTACCAGAAGTAACCAAGTCATCAAAATATGGTTGCGTTTTTGGAATGGTAGAGAATAATTTTTCCATAGCTCTTTGAAATAAAGCAGGGGCAGAAGCAATACCATATAAAAGACGATTGCACTTATACAATCCAAGATGAGTGTTGATAACCACTAAATTTTTACTTTCGTCATCCAATTGGAATTGGTTATAGGCATCACTTAAGTCAAAGGTAGAGAACTTCTCACCTCCAAGTAGTTTCATAGAGATTTCTTCCAAACGAGGAATTGGATGGACATCTATTTGTAACATCTTATTCAAGGTTAGATTGAAAAGTCCAGCTATCTTAACACTACCATCATTTTTAACTACTGGAATTATAGGTGTGGCCCAAGCACTGTTGGATATCTTAGAAATAACTCCAGCCTTTTCTAACCTAGATAACTCTGCTTCAACTTTATCCCTGAGGGAAAAAGGAACTGTCCTTGGCTTCAGAAAAATAGGATGTGCATCTGGTTTTAACGTTAAATGAAGGAATATTGATTTAGAACATCCGATGCCTTCAGAAAATACAGTAGAATATTTGTCTAGTAGAGAAAGCAGATTAGAGTTTGTATGAGGAATCTTGGGAGTAATACTATTGATTTTACATGAGAGCTTTAACTCTCGAATCCAATCTCTTCCAATGAGGTTAGCATTACCATGACGAACCACATAAAGACGAAGTTTATGGCGAGAACGATTGTAAAGAACTGGTACTATAATAAATCCTAATACATTCAACTTGAAATTTCCATATGTGCAAAGAAAATGTTTAGACTCATGTAAAGAAAAGGATGATAAGTCTCTGTTGAAAGTGGATTCAGAAATGATGGAAAGTGGGGAGCCAGTATCAACTTCAAAACTAATGTTCTTCTTATTAATAGAAAGAGTGAGAATAATAGGTGGAACTGGTGTGGAGACATCTTGAATATTGAAAAGATTTAAATAAGATGAATTATCTATCTCTAAGTAATCATTTGAATCTTTGTCAGTATGAGATAGTTGGTGTATGCTCACATGAGAATGTTTAGTTTTTCCACAAACCCTTGCAATATGACCAAGAATGCCACATTTATTACAGGTAAATGTTCTAAATCTACAATTCTCACGGGAATGATTTTTGCTTCCACAAGATTTACAGATGTAAGTACTGGTTTTCTTTGTTTCAAACTTAGTTTTATCTCTAGGACTATTCTCACTAAACTCCTTCTTTCTGTTAGAGAACTTTGTGGAACGAATTTTAAAACAATCGTTTTCGAGTGGCAATTTATTGAAACGACCTGCATCAATCAGAGCTTGTTCCATAGCAATAGCATAATTGATCGCTTTCTGAAGGTCTAATTCCGACTCATTTTTAGCAAATAGATTTGAACGAATCCTAGGGTCGTACAAGCCCGACACGAATTGATCTCTTAAACGTGAAGCAAGGGAATCTCCAAAATCACACTTTTCACTTAATGATTTTAAACAAACTATAAAATCGTTAATCGATTCTCCTTCTTTTTGTACCCGGCGAGTAAAGTTCGCTCTCTCGGAAATAATACTGACTGATTTATTTCTATGGGACCTCATTATACTTTTTAAATCAGCAAATGTCTTCGAAGAAGGTTTATCTGGGAGACAAAGGTTCCTTAATAATTTGTAAGCCACCGGACCCATTTGACTAAGAAGAGTAGCCACCATTTTTCTGTCGTCGGCGATATCGGATGCTATAAAGAATTCTTCCAATTGTTCAACGTATTCATCCCAATCAGTATTTACGTTGTACGGGTTAACGTTAATCGCATTTGCCATTTTCGAATAAGGAAAGAAAACAATGATAATAAGCAATTTGGTAACTTACGGGTCGAAGGTTAAAAGTCTAGCTGAAGATAGCCACGTGTTGACTTCGTAGAATTGGTCGAGAAAAAAATAAATAAACTTCAGTATTCTTGAATAAAATTGTAGAAATATATTATCTGTGATCCACCTCATCGCCAGAATTGGTGTGTATTAACGTCGGAATTAGATTACGAAAAGGATTGAAACGGATTCTCATGAACAGCTAAATCAACACGTCTTTATTGAAGTACACAACGGTGCAGAACTCTGCAGTGCGCAGGCGCGCTACTACATATATACATTTGAACTGCCATAGATGGCGCTGGGATACATAGCATTAACATCAACGAAAATTCAACACAAAGCGACACACAACAGAGAAAAATTTCAGGATGGAATAAGTTAATATATTTTTTCGTACATAATCGGTTATTTGAAAAATAAGTTATCTGAACAACCCCAGTCCCCAATTGATTCAGATAAACGACGCTCTACTATATAGTTTTCATAAGCAATTATATGGATTTTTAGTTATTTTACAATTTACAAAATATTAATAAATTTAGATGATAATAGAAAATTATTTCTAATATATATATAGTCAATTTCTAAAATTAGTTAAAAATGAATTTATAAATATAAATTAATTTCACAACAACAAGAATAAAACAGCTTATTAAATAATTAAATATGATAATTAAACACTTACTTGTAAGAACAGAGAGTAAAAATAAGTATTCTGTGTATGATACTATTCCTATAAATAAATATAAATCTTTCTGTTATTTAAAAATAAGAAAAAATTTACACGGGTATTGTAAGCTTTAAATATATAATTAAGATTTTAACATAAAATTTTGTAATTATAATATGTAAGCATATCATTTAATTATTATTAAATATATTATGAAACAGGAAGCAGCATTTGATACAAATTCAATACTTTGAACTATCAAATACTACATAATTATAAAATTAACAAAAAAATAAACATTTTTTTATTAGTATTTTTTAAAACTAAAACTTATTTAATAAAATATTTTTTAATTCTCTTATATCTATCACTAATTCATCTTAAAATATATGAAAGTGAAAGGAAACAGTAAATAAAATACTTTTTATTTCTAAATTACTATAGATGGCCTCTTTTGGCCTCTTTGTGCTCTCTGAGCAGTAAGGGGCCTAAAACCACAAAGGAAAAAAAAAATTACTATAGAAATAAATACTTTTTATTTCTATATTACTACTATATTATTAAATCAATATTTATATAGAAATTATAAGAAATAAATGGGGAAAAAGGCAAACTGATTGAGGAATTTGGTTATAAGGAATAAATTACTTCATACATTAAATCAAAAACTATTTAATTAAAACAATTTCAAATTATCATAAAAAATATTGAATTTAATATAATTAAGGAAAAATCATTTTTATAAATAAGATTATATATAAAAAAAACTTTATACAATACTGAATTACAGAATTTGGAAAACATATATAAGAAACAATTATAATCAAATTACTTCATTCAGTAAAAGTTTCTCAGAATATATAGTTGTAGTTGTAAAAGAGGGTGAGAGAGCTGTCAGTTGTTTAGCTGACTGACTTAGCCCTTTTAGATAGGAAACAGAAAGAAGGTTTGTAGGTAAGGTGATAAGCAGCAAGAGGAAGTTAGATAGGATAGAAAAAGGAAGTGACCATGGGATCCATGGGCACCCACATCGCCTTTATTTAATTAATAAAATAAAATACAGTTATAGGATACAATAACAGCATAAACAATTACGAAAAATCCGTATAAAATAAATGGCGCAACAATATGCACAGTATACAGGATTAAGGTTTACAATTTAATATAAGGCAATACCGAACAATTAATGTGAAATTATATATGTACTGTACATAGCATATATGTTCAGGAACAGTCATTGCTATCTTCATCAGTTTCACTTTTCAATGTTTGGTGGATTGGACCATTGTCATTTGGTGTCTGTTGGTGCTTTCTGTAGTTTTAGTATTTGTGACCTAATCCTGTATGGCAATCATAAATCCTTCCATCTCCCCAAAGAGGCATCCCCAAGCTAGCCAGCTGTTTGACAACAATATCCCAGGTCAGCTGTAAGAATGACTGCCATGGAGTGCCTTTTGAGCACACAATTTCTTAATGGTGTCTATGCTTTTTATATGTTCTGTTGTGTCCATATGATGTGAGTGTAAGTTTAATATCATGCTACTGTTAGTCTGCTAGAGTTACTGCTTTAAATAACTGTGATGTTTTTTTGTTTTTTGTCAAAAAACTCTCGCAATGTCTGTATTTGTTTGTAGTGAAGGCTTACTAAGTCAATCAGGCCATGTCCACTATCTTTACATGGCAGAGTTAATCTTTCTATGGTGGATTTAGGATGATGTTTACGCTTAGTAAGTATTGTTCTGGTTTTTCTTTAGAGGTGCTCAATATCTGTGTGAGTCCAATGTATAACTCCAAAAGAATAAGTGAGTACTGGAACAACATATGTGTTTATTGCTTTAATTGTGTGTTTTGCATTTAACTGTGTTCTGAGAATAGCATTTAACCTATTTTCATATTCTTTAATTAATCTTTGATTTATTTGTTGTTGTTGTTATTATATTAAGACAGAATTTTCATTTGCTCTTCTCCAAATGATAATCTCATTCTTAATTGAAATTATTAATTGTGATTTTTGAAAGGTAAGTCTTTTTAAAGATAGTACTCTCTTGATCCAGTGTTAAGAAATGTCTGAACATTTAACTATTATATTTATCACATATCTCAATTATATAATTAACAAAACAGTATTATTACAAGCTAATGAATTATTTATTAGTTTATAATTACAAAGTCTCAGCTTATAGATAGATTAATTCATTATCTATTTCAATTTAACACTTACCATTCTCATGAAGTGATCTAAACAATGTTGTTGATCCTTTTCGCCGAGTTGGTGTAGTATTATACATATGTTCTAAATCCTTTTTTGTTAATTTTCTTCTCTTCATTCGAGCTAATTATTCAAGATAAATAATAATAATTATTATTATTAANATGAAGTGATCTAAACAATGTTGTTGATCCTTTTCGCCGAGTTGGTGTAGTATTATACATATGTTCTAAATCCTTTTTTGTTAATTTTCTTCTCTTCATTCGAGCTAATTATTCAAGATAAATAATAATTATTATTATTATTAAAATACCTTTGTTAAAATTTAAATCACACAAAGTTATAAGCAAAATATTTTTTTAAATTTAACAATATATAAATACTTAATTCAATGGTATTTATACTGATATTATTGATATTTATTAAAATATCTTGACATTTTCATATTAACAAATAATTACAATAATGAGTTTCATTATCATTACACTATTATCATCAAAATTGAGTATTAATGTTTAAAAAAATATACAAATTATGATAAATTCTAAAAAATATTCAAATATAAGATCATGCATGTGTGCAGAAATACAATACGTTTATTTCTGATACTCAATAATAAAAATAATAATAATAATAAATTGACAAATGCAGTAAGATTGCTTATATAATAGACATCTCTATTCCAAACACTCATAACATAAAAAATGCTCACACTGAAAAAAATCAACAAGTACACTCCACTCGCTCAAGAAATAAGAAAGGTGTGGAGGATAAATAGGGTATTCATTAAACTTGTTGTCCTCTCTTCTAATGGTATTATACCATATACACTATACAAAAGTCTAAAAATATTAGACCTGAATAAAAACATATACATGGCACTACAGAAAGCTGCAATATTGAACACTTCATATTGTTAAGAAGTTTCTAATGTTGACACATATACCAATAACTCAGAAGCTTAATGTAATACTTATTTCTGTGCCTTGACTTTAGTCCAGCATAGCACTTGGCACCAGTATCAGATGAGCATGACATTTGCAACATAATAATAAAAATTCACTACTGATTCCTAACATACTAGCATGCCAACTGAAAAAAACTCAAAAATTATTGGTCTTCTCTTTGGTCTACTGCTGTCATGAACAGTACTGATGCAGACTGGATCAAAGAGGAAAGCAAAGACAAGCAGGAGACATCTATTATGCATTCTGTTGAAATAAGTGCACAAGACATCCATTGTGTAATGTAGAAAGCACTGGACACCTGGTGTAGACAACATTCACAATTTCTGGTACAAAATATTTACATCTCTGCACCAGGAACTAGTTAAACATTTAACATATATCATTAACAATCCACAAGACATGCCAAATTTTCTCATATAGGGCATCACCTATAGGAATCCAAAAAACAACACCAAAGACCCTGCACAGTACAGACCAATTACATGTCTTCCAACAATTTACAGGATTCTAACCTCTTGCATTGAAAACAAAATATATGATCATAATGATGAACACATTCTTGCAGAACAACAAAAAGTCTCATAGAAAACTACAAAGGTTACTACTCAGGACTCCAAAGGGTACTACTCAGACTGTTATCCTACGGCAAGTTCATAAGCAATGTACATAAACAAAAACGTACGTATGGCATACACTGATTACAGAAAAGCATTTGACAGTCTCCTAAACACTTCACACCTATAAAATCCATCCCCAACTCATTAGTTTCCTTCATTTTATCATTCTACACTGGAAAACAACATTACATCTTAACCTCAACAACATTCATATAAAAATAAATCAAATATACATCAAGTGAGGAATTTTTCAAGGAGATTCCTTGAGTCCTCTATGGTTTCGTCTTGCGCTTAACCCTGCATCTAACACATTAAACATTAAATCACCACAGCCTTTCAATATATGCATCAGAAGAAGAGATTGTCCTGCTATTTCAACAAGCCTCCATGTTAAAAACATCTGTATGTGGGAGCATATCAGAGATATGGACACTTGAAATTTTCAAGGCAAACAGGGAAGGGAGCTTGCATTAATAACAAAGAAGAAAAAATAATCTCAAAAGCATGGAAAACATGCTTTGACATAATATGGTTACAACAATCAAACACAACAAAATAACACTATTCACATTATCACTTCATATATACAGTGGGTGATCGGTTAACGAACAATTCGGACTATGAACAAATCGAATAATGAACACTTTTGTGAAATGTTTTTATGTTCAGACAACAACAGGAACTAGTTAAACATTTAACATATATCATTAACAATCCACAAGACATGCCAAATTTTCCTCACAGAACAAACACAAGAAGAAATGACATAAAATAATGAATACTGGTTGGTCTTCCCTTGCCTTCAGGCAACAATTTGAAACTTTTCAAAGCGCGGGAGACGTTGACATCGACATTCAACCTGGTATATACTGATCAGATAGTATTCTTCCGAACTTTGAAACTCTCCCTTGTAATTCCAGCCTTTTATCTTTCTGACAAAGAATTTTTTTATAGTATTCCCAAGACTGTTGGGCAGGCACTCAAGTTTTGCGTTGGTTTTTATTTTCGAAAGGTGAGAGTATAATAGCAAAGGTAGAGAGTGGGCAGAAAATGTCTGATGATGCTGGGCAGTATGGCTTGGAACAGATCTACAGTAGGCCACAGTTCAATCTTATCTAAGCATAATCAAGAAGACTCAAGCAGCTAAAGGAGTAACAAAAATTACATCTGAGAAATAAAGAACATTGAAGAGCTCATAATGGAACCTGAAATAGATCTGATAATAGAAGAACGTCAAGAACTCTTGAATGAAGAACACCAAGAAACTCGGCGAGATATGTTTTCTTCTGAAAAAGAGGATTAAGGCCAATATCTGCTATTAAATCTTTTGAAGTGGGAGAATGTCAGAACAACAATCTTAGAATGGCATCCAAACCAGGTTGAGGTTAATAGGCTAAGGGATCTCTACACTTACAATGCTATTAATTACAAAATTATTACAAAAGTTGCTTCTAGCCCCTGGTATAATTAAATTAATTAAATTATCAACAACCATGAGGCAGATAATAAGGACTTATCACACCAATCTGCCTCACAGTTGTTGATAATTTAATTAATGCTATTAATTACTTCTGAAAAATTCTAAAGAGAGAAAAGCAATCGACATTAGACAGACTCTTTAACCCCCACAAACAGAAAAAACATGTCTAATAAAAATGCAAGTCTGTGTATATATGTTTTTTATTATTACATATAAATAAACGTAGTAAGAAAGTATATATTTTTTATTTTTTGGGGTCTCCAGAACGAATTAATCAAATTCCCATACAAACCTATGATAAATTGAAAATCGGTTAACGAACAATTCAGATAGCGAACAAAGTCTTGGAACGGATTATGTTCATTAACCGATCACCCACTGTCTACTCACTTATTCTTTTGGAGTTATACACTGGACAAACACAGATCTCAATGAACTCCAAAGGAAAACAAGAACACTAAGCATAAACAATATCACTCGAAATTGTTCATAGGAAGATTAATGTAGTTAACCTGCATTACAAAGAAATTCAGATATTGTGGGAGTTTTTTCACACAAGACAAGAAACGTCAAGATTATCAGAGGGCTGTGGTAATTTTTCCTTCTGGACAACATCCAGAAAGGGAAAATCACCACAGCCTTTCAATATATGCATCAGAAGAAGGGATTGTCCTGCTATTTTAACAAGCCTCCATGTTAAAAACATCTGTATGTGGGAGCATATCAGAGATATGGACACTTGAAATTTTCAAGGCAAACAGAGAAGGGAGCTGCATTAATAACAAAGAAGAAAAAATAATCTCAAAAGCATGGCAAACATGCTTTGACATCCATAATGTGCATAACATTATGCACATTATGCACATAACATAATGTGCATAATGTTATGCACATTATGGAATTCCATATCAAGGAATTCCATAATGTGCATAACAGCAAAAATTAAAAAATTAATTCAATTTGAGACAAAAATTAAAAGAACATTCCAGTATTCTAAATTCCCGATGAAGACCTTCAGAGTAGGTCAAAAAGGTTAGATGTTAGTTTTGACAAATGCTGTATTGTTTTGACAGGTTAGTGAGAATTTGTGTTGCTCTCATTTACATTTTTATATATATTTTTTGTAATTTTCATACATGTCTGGCATGTATATTTAATTTTTTGTTATATAATATGTTTAATGTATGTTTTTAATTAATTGTTCTAAAATTATTACATTCAAATTAAGCTGTTCAGAATACATTCCTGGTTTCATTCTTTTTAAACATAATTTGTTTCTTTCTTTCCTGAAGAAGGTCAATAAAGGTAACTAAAAACATTAGAGAATTAATAAATCTTTCTGCATTTTAACATGTTAACCGTCATCTGATGCACCGGCGGTCATACTAATTAGGGCCGTTCAGAGCCATACGACTGTCGGCGGTCAGAGCCAACTTGTGCGCAAGAGGTGCCCACTAGATGTGCACAAGAGGCCACCACTAGGATCTAAAACAATGTCTTACGAAGCCAGGATAATTTAACCTTGAGTGAAACTACATTGTTTATAGTGACGTCGGGCAGTCGTATGGTTCTGTACAGCCCTAATTAGCATGACCGCAGATGCGTCGAATGGCAATTAACAAGGTCTGAAAAGAAGTGTGGTGATTTAGTACAAGTGCAGTTACAAAAGAAATCATTTACAAATGTAATTGTACTAGGAACTGAAGGAAATGTTAGAAATTTATTTCTGGAATTCTAAAATACAATAGCAAAATGGAATATCAGAAACATTTTCTATTTCAATAATCTTAAAACTTATTTAACCTACTTACGTCGTGGATCAGATTCTGTAACAGATTCTAAAAAATCTTGTGGAGTCATGTATATCTGTCCATTATATTCTACTGAAGCAAATCTAATAAACCTTCGTTCACGTTGTGTCAAATGAGTTGTTTGTGATTCTTCAACTTTATTCTACAAGAAAAAAATTTCCATTCATCTAAAGTTATTTTTATATTATTGTATATATTTCATAGTGATACAGTAAAAGCTTGATATAACAGATCACCACTGAAGAAATTTGTCCATTATAATGAAAGTCTGTTTAATCACAATTATACATTTTTACAGATTTGTCTGTTATGTTGAAAAGTCCATTATTATTCAGTAGAATCACATTAGAATGGATCTTGATAATTAACATGGAGTAAATATATGCAGTTTGCAGATGTTTTCTCCAGGTCCAGAGGCCAAATCAATATATTTTTTACCTCATTTCAGCAGATAAGTTACTGTGAATATAAGGGGATTCTTCTATATATAGTAATAGTGACTTGTCCATTACTGTATATTGGTATTGTGGACAAAAGTCAATTACACAGTGGACAAAATTTCAGTTGTAAAGTATATAAGCCAGATTTTTCTTAAACTTGTATAAACAACATATCTATCAGTAAATCTAAAATATAGGGATAATCATACAGCACTGACCGTTACTAGTTTTTGCTACTAGAACTAGGTAGCAGCAGTTTATAGACATATCATTGCCATAGATCATAAGGCCTAACTTTGGGGACTATTTTGTTTGGTTATAGTTGTGTGAACTAAGAGCCAGAGGAAATGTTTGTTGGTTAAAATTTAGTGTGTCAAAAGTTATTTTCACAGCTCTGATTCTACTTTGGGGATAAGTAGTTAATTTCATTTTAAAATGTATTTTGTCTATAGTAATATTAGGTTAAGATAAATCATATTAGTTTCACAATATAAAACTATATACAATGTACAATCTCCAAAATGTTATCATGTTGCAGTTATCCAGTACCAACCAAATTAATATTTAAAGAAAGGTCTCATTTTTCTTTCTTTTCAATTTAGAGAAAAAGACAAAAGTAAAATGAATTGAAGCTAGCATGAAAATGATAATAGTTGAAGTTTCTGCAAACAGTATGATCCAACTACAAGTTGTTTTGACATTTTCAGTTCTGAAAACAAGATTAGCAGATTGATTGAGAGCAATCCAAGTTGGCATAAATATGAATATGGTCCTTCAGATGGGTCGTGCAAAGGACTTTCAACAAACAAATGGAAAAACAATTAGTTTTTTTATACACAAGGTCAGGATGACAAGTTCATTCAAGACAACTGGATACAGTGTATAATTGTTGGGCACATATATGTGCCGATTAAGAAAATATTTTGTATTCTATTTGTGACAATTGTAAGCAGTGAAGTTCATTATAAAGTTTTGTAAATTTATTCCTATGCTTTCCTATTATTTATTTTTTCAAATAAATGTTGTTATTGGTTATAGTACAACAGTACACTATTCTAAGTATGTTATCAAAGAATTTTATACTTTTATTTGCCTGAATAAAAATCTCTAAAACAACTTATATTATCACTAGGATCTTAATACCCTTTAAAATAGTAACTTGGTCAATACTGGATGACAATATTTGCACTGCCCAAATTCATGACTCTTAATTTTAGAAATAATTAGTACTTTAGGCAAAATTTTAGAGAAATCTTATTCTGTACTTTATTTATCTTATTTAAGTTATTATATTATTGTTGTAAAATCAGTTTTTCTCAAGACTTACATTGGCTATGGTCTAAAATATTAAAGTGGTCAGTATTGCAGGACTTTCCCCTAAATCTAATGATTTGTTCTCTTTTATGATCTTTTCATCACATACAAAAAATAAAAACCTAAACTAAACAAAACTAGTTGCTCAGAAAATGAAACAAAATCTAGACATAATATGAAAATCTATATCAAAAAACAATTAAAAAATGAATTTTATATTATTTTGTATTTATTTTTTGCAAATAAAGTAAATAAAATGACTATGATGAAATAAGTAAAATGGCAATGGCAACAAAAAAGTTTGTATTATATAATGGTCTCAGGGATTTGAAAAATAGCCCATAGTGACAGGAGTCTGTATAAACGAATGAATTTTCTTATAATTTTCCTATACTTTTGGCTGGACTGATATTAGCCATCTGTAATAACACAAAGTCCGTTATACTGAGCTTTTACCATATTTAAAATAATGGATATATATATATCCATATATATATAAAGATTCAGACACAGTATACAGCACCAGCAAGCAATAGTACAAGTAACTGGAGTTTTAAATTATCTATTTATATTTCTAAATTTATTCAATACAAGATATAAAAAATAATTTTCAACAATTCAAATATATTGTAGCAGAATATCTGAAATATGAATGTTATTACAAATTAGAAATCCTGTTTATATTTTTAAGAATTTAACTATCTCCTAGTAATAAATTATAGTAATACAAACATTTGTAAAGTTATAATTCAATGAATAAATTATTGTATATTTTATTGAACTAAATATTTTTACATAGTTTTTATTTGAATATGATAAAATTTGTTAGTTTGTTTAATATCATATGATGTCATACTGTAAAAATTAATTAATGTTTATAGTATACTATTAGTATAATTACTGCTTTTTTGTATCAAAAATTGTAAGTTAAATTATTTATTTAATAATATTTACACTTCTTTTTAATTAACTTGATAATAAACAGTTGAAAACTTCTTTCCCTTGTATTTTTTTCTCTTCCAAGGTCATTATTAAATTTATTTACTGCAAATAATACATGTATATGAACTTGGAAAAACAAAATTTTAGAAAATTACACATTCATAAACTCAAAAAATTGATTTTAAAAAATGGCATTATTTCTAAAATCAAAGTTTTGCTTAATGTCAACAAATAACTACTGTACATAATGTACAAATTAAAATTAAGTTCACAAATGTAATTAGTAATAGAATTAATTACGTAAAACAGTAAACACAAGTTACGAAATTAAACTAATTTTTACAAGTTTCCAATGTTTATCAGTATTGCATATTCTTTGACAAAATCACATTTTCTTGAATTGTTGATGAATTTTTGACAAGATTATTGTGCTAAATGAATCTTCTGTGATTCATTCAGCAACAAACAATTTTAGCAATTGCTGTCAATATGAAATTTCTCAATTATTTAATTATAAATTAATTTATTTTACTTAATTCAAAAAAAATTGTTTTTCTAAAGCAGAGTTCCCACATTGGTCGACATCAACCCACAAGAGTTGATATCCAGACCATACAATAGAAAGCAATTAATTGATTGGATTCACCAAGAATGGTCTTTTATACCCAGGAACAGCTAAGTCTTCAGTTCTCCCTAAAAGAGTAAAGGAATGTTTGGCCAGTCTGGAAGTCAACTAAATATAAATATGGAAAATTAATGTTATGCCTGTAATACTGTTAAATAATATTTGGTTCCAACATATTATAGCATCATTTGTTAAAAAAGTAACTTTATTTATAAAATAATACTTAAGATCTACATCATAGTCGCGATGAAAATAAAATATAGTTTTAATTTCAAATAAGAAATCTTACAGCATCTTGTCTGGCGTAAGTGCCTTGACGTGGAGATTGCTTAGCGTGAACTGTAAACAATGAGTTTCTTTTATCGGGTTGTATGTAATAACGAAGTGCACATCCTAATCCTATCGTTCCTGACACAATACACACTGGGTACACATATTTATTTTTTACATATTCTCTACTCGAACACGAAATTATATTAAAAAGCTTCCTCACATGACTCCTCCCTGCCGCCATAATTTTATTGGCATACTGTCAAATTGTTTACTTCGGATTTGTTTTATTGTGATATTTTTCTTACTATCATTTTGAAACTTCTACTTAAAACATTTTAAATTTTTCTTGAATATTAAAATTGTAATGAAAAAATTGGACTTGCTGTTTTTCCTATATAAAAAGAAATTAAAGAATTGGTGGAATAAGGAAACGTAACACTAGCGTAGCGATCTTTTCGGCAGATCTAAGAATGCAGGAGAGTTAACTTTCTCCACCCCGTGAGCATTAAGAGACCCCCTTTTTAAAATCAAAATAATTGTTTTCAGTCCACAATGAGGCGGCCGGATGGTGAGGGACAGAGCTCGACATATCCGAGAGGACTACCGCGAAAAATTTCCACGATTTTTCGATCGGCCCGGATTAGATCCCTGTACCACCAGAGCAGTAAGATGCTACCTTAACCGCTCGGCCATCCAGCCGTTCTTTTCTTTCGGTACTTCTGAATCCGATACTGAGCAATCTGTCAAGAGGGGTTCTTCCGGGAGAACTTTCTATGAAAACTGGTCCCTATTTAGGTGATAATTATATATGTGAAAAACTAGGAAAACTACATATGGCCAGTCCGCTAACCCGCGAATAACTCCACGTGTTTGGTGGTTTTTATCTACTTCGTCACTAGTGAGCGAAAAATTAAAGAAACTTATAAATAAATTATTGTTTTTCAGATTTGATTTCATATTTTATTACTACTTCTTTTATTTTGACGGCTGCCCCATTGTAGGCCTAACCGAACTAAAAAAAAGCCCCTCTTAGTGACCACCGTTCGTTTAAAAATCTTTCTTTTCTTTTGTGTATTGTGCAGTACAGGGTGGGGCGTATATATGTTCTGATGAAAAAAATTAAATTATTAAAAAAGTACAGATGCAATTCAATTCAAATCACATACTGTTAAGTTTAGCAGTAACTGGAGTACGAAATACAATTTTTTAAATATTTCAGATACAATAAAATTCTGTAGGCGTTCATAAAAATTGGTCACTAATATGACCGCTGCTGAAATTACTTTTATTGCGTCTCTGATGCGCTCCTGAAGAATCTGCAGGTTTTCCATTGGTAACACAAACTTTAGTTGCTCTCCATATTGCAAAGTCTAGGGCGTTTAATTAAATCGGGACTAGACGGGAATCATTTCAGCCAGGCTTTTCCGGTACAATCAATCTAGAATTACGACGTTTTACAGATGTATAGTGTGTGCCAATATCCCTGTATAAAAATCACAAAATACAACTTATTTCTAACAAAATTGTTAAAAAATTACAGTATTTTCCTGCCAGGACATAACCTATATATACTTCATTTGATATGAAAACTAGGTTAAAATCCAATATTCAATATTAAGTTGTTGCATCGGTAACTAAAAAAATGAATGAGATAATTATAGTTTGCATTTTATTCACGTGTATATGCCTGAAAACAATGAGCTAAGAACCGGAAGTCATTAATTAACATGAAGCATATTTTCATGGGTCTTCGAGAGACATGAAAATATATGAATAAAAGAAATAAAAACATTAAACTCACCTAACAAAAATTATCAGAATAAATTTTAATTTACAATTACAGTAGGTTTTGTCTTATGCGAAGTTGATGTAAGTAGATTCGTGTTTTAGCAGTTTAAGACTGAAAAAGCTTGCAGCTTTTTGAACAGTCATTTTTTCGTAAAGATTAAAAAGCAATAAAAATTGTATTAAATGTGAATTGAGAATGTATAAACAGTGTAATATTGATATTATATAATATAATTTAGATAGTAATTAAATAATTCTCAAAAAATGCAATATTGGAAAACTGAATAAAGTTATTTTACGAGTTTTATGTTTAAATTACATATCTTCTACATTTAAAGTAAGAGGTTATGCATACAGACTTAAACGTAGTGTATAAAAATATTCCGTGTAACTAAATAGGAGTTTTTGTCCGTAAATCCAAATTCCAAATGTATTGATAATCTTTGCAAATACGCAAAACAAAAGGTATTGTGTGTAATTAATGTATTTACAGATAACTTGTTAACAGAAGAAACAAAAAGAAAGAAAAGAAAAAAAAAAGTGATCTAAACTTTAGAAGGCAACAAAATCTAGGAATTTGATGAAAAAAGATTTTAATTTAATCAAAAATGGTTGCTATCAATGCAGGAAATCTCTGAACTACATATTCTTAAAGCATTCCCATCTCTATTTGTTTACTGTTGCGATTTCTGTCGTTGAAAAGAGATTTTCATTTGGAAAGTCTCTTCAATCGAATTAGGTTGGAAAAAAACAATAAAAAAACTCCAATTAATTTAATGTCCACAGGCAAAACCGGCTCCATAATTTTCCGAGCCTAATACAAAATACAAATGTTGAAGAGTCTTTCAACATTCCATTAAAATTTTTCCACATTGAGTTTCGGGATAAGGCCTTCAGACACCCCAGGTAGAGATGATCATTATTATTACGGATCTCATTATTGGGCATATTCAAAACTCAACTTACTGCAGCACCTCTCAGCACCAACGTTGCTGTCAGCGTGCTGCAAGCAAACTGCAAGCGTCTTTTTCGATGCTGGATACTCCAGTAAACAAGATGGCAGCCGCCATGAGACTTGTAAGAGCTTTTTTTAGGATCGACAATTTTGAATTTAATTTATTTATTGATAAATGTACCCTGAATAAATTGATATTAGTTTAGTATATTAATAGAATATTTTAATATACTGGTATAATTACGTAAGACATCACATAATTTGTTTCAGTTATTGAAGTGTAATCTTGAGGTGATTTTGTTATTTATAACTTCTGCAGAAATTTAAAAAATCTTTAGCTCTCTTTCTCTTTCGAAATATAGTATTCATTTTTCATTAAGCTGTTAAATAAGTTCAAAAATAAATTTAATGTAACTTAGAAGCCCATATCATTCGCCATTTTTCTTGTTTTTCTTTCCTGATATTCCTATCAGTCAGCGTTGGTGTTCGCTCGAAAACGCCAGCGGTGCGTCAGTTCCGGTATCATATCACTGCATTGACGCTGAGATTTTGAATAAGCAAGACCATTACATCAATGACATTTATGAAATCGCGGTTTTTCATTGTTAATGTTTATACCTTTCGCTTATTTATTAACTCCGATTTACTTATTTTGTTAGTAATGTTTTAAAATAATTGAAATCAGCTGTTTAGACTTACTATATAGCGACAAAAACTACAGATGCTCCCATTAAGAAGGTTTAAATGTTCAGTAACTGTTATGTCAGAGGTGGCCAGTAGCATGCTTAATTAAAAGACATACGTTTAATATGTCTTTTAAACATGCTACTGGAATTAAAAAGACATGTCTTTTTAATTCCAGTAGCATGTCAACGATGACAATATTATATTTTAATAGTCGGGAATGTAACCCATGTTACGTTAAAACAGCCAGGAAAATAACAAGAGAGAAAAAATTTGAGATGATTACAATACTTTCCATGTTATGCTATAACAGCCGGAAAAGTAAATTGAAACTGAAACTACTGTATCTGTTTTTTTTTTTTTTTTTTTTTTTTTTTTTGATGCAGCTCGATGACTATCCAAAGAGATTAATGTTAAAATGGTATGAAAATAATTTGTAATAGTCATGTGTCTTACGTCTGTTCTTGCCCCCCCTTCGCCACGTGGTGGGTCTAACTCGGTGGAGAGGAGTTATGTAATTCAGGGGTGTGTGACCGAGGGGTGAGTGTTTTATGGACGGGGTGTGTCTCAGGGAGAGGGGTGAAGGGAAGTGGAGAGTGGAAAAAACGAGAGAGGAGTAAGGACAGTGGAGTGAAGTGCGGGAATGAAGATATAGAGCCTGTGCAAGCAAGTCTGTAGAGATTTTTAGAACTTTGGAACTTTTCCCTACCCGGAGTGGAAGAGAAGAAAAGATCGTCGAGGCCTCATTTGTGTCGGTATGTTTCCATGTATTCTTGTTACGTCAGCTTGAGCAATTCATTGTCGGGAGATTTTTGTTATCGATTCGCGATATACTAGATTTGTCGGACTCTGTATTCTTGTGTCGCATCTTTATCTTGGGAGTACTGTATCCTCCCAAGTATATTAAAGAAATATTGTTATAGTATTCAATGGTTGTCTTGTCTAGTCCCTATTGAGTCCAGTGGATTCCCCTTAATAAGCGTTGTTTCCACCAAGCACGCTTGTTATTGATTTATCCCCTGGCTGAGCACTTATATTTTATCGTGTTGATTCATTCACTCGATATTTTGTACCCCCACAAGTCAAAATAATCAAACTCGGACTATTTTCTCTACGTTTCCATTAAAGACCTTCTGGGAGGCATTCCCTTCGGTAGATCGCCCATATGTCGCGTTGCCGTAACCAAATAAATGAAAACTGATGCGAATTTGACGTTTCAGATACAGACATTTTAGCTAGTAATTTACCATTTGTCAGGCGAAAAAAGAAGTAAAAACGCAAGTTGAAGAGTGTAGATTTCTCGAGGGTATTCGTAAAGAAAGCAACAAATGAGACCGTTAAAAAATTTGTGATATAACAAGCGATCAAAATATTTAATACGCTCGAAGAATGACGGAAAACCCAATCTAATCTTGACAATGTTAAGATTTTGAGTATAGTTACATAATTTGTTAAAGGAAAAATATATCTTATTCATGGCACAAGCAATTTTATCCAACAGGGAAGATGCCATTATTCAAATGGCCATTTCTAATCAATACAAGACTAAAAGTTGGTAAAAAAGAGCCATCAATGCACGTTTTGAAAATACGGGCTTACAAAATCGCCATTAACTTCCGCGCCTGATAGCTAAAGCCAAACTAGCAATATGATTTTAATTAAAAGTAAGTTTGCTATAAAAAATTATGCCCAAAACGTTAAAAGATATAACATATTGCACTACATTGGATTTATATTACACTATATGGCCTAAATATTCAATCTGTGTTTGAAAATATGTACACTTCTGCTTTTATTTCTTCTTCTTTGGCGAAGATTAGGCCATAGTATAACAAGTTGGTCAGAGGCTTTCGGTACCTTTGGTCCTATGTTCCAGTCGATTACGTCAGAATGCAGTAGCTCCTCTAACGGATACCAAGCACGCTTCGTCTCGATTAGCGTTGCTTGTAGCCTTTTATAGAAGTGCGACATGCTTTACGAAGATATTTTTTACATCATTTATAGAATTTAGAAGAGCTTTGTAGTTTTAAAGTAAGTACTTTTTTAAATTTTACCATAAACTTTAGAGAAAAATATACTTGGCTTTACGGAAAACTTTTGCTTTGCTGCATTAGGTAAATTCTTGAATTCAAAATAGAATTCAGTTATAGACAGGAGGTTACTGATGAAAAAAGAAATTTAAGAGTTTGAAAGCTTGATTGCGTAGTAAACACGTGTCTTACAAATGAAGGAATCGATGATGATTTAAATGCTTC